AGAATTGCCTGAACCCAGGAGGCGGAGGTTGCGGTGAGCCGAGATTGCGCCATTGCCCTCCAGCCTGGGTAGCAAGAGCGAAACTCCATCTCAAAAAAACAAAAACAAAAACAAAAACCCAACAACTTTGCTGGGGTATTGATGGGAATTATGTTAAATCTATATATCAATTTGGGAAGGAAAGACATGTTTATTGATTCTTCCAATCCATGATATGCCGTTCCAATTATTTGTCTAATTTCTTTCATCAGCATTTTATAATTTTCAGCACGCAGATCCTGTACATTTTGTTAGATGTATATGTAAATATTTCACATTCTTTGGGGCAATTGTAAATGGTTCTGTGTTTTTAATTTCGGCTTCCACATATTTATTGTTAGTATATGTAAAGCTGTTCTCACTGGAAGAAAGAGAAAGATACTCTTCAGTGAAGTCAACTTCTTTAGTGATTTCCCCTTCACCTGCTGGGCAGGTAACAATCTATTTATCTTCACATTCAAGTATGTCCACAATCTGCCTCTGTATCTCTTAAATTTGACCTCACACCTAATTGCTACATACCATTTTTTTTTGAGATGGAGTTTCACTCTTGTTGCCCAGGCTGGAGTGCATTGCTGCAATCTCGGTTCACCACAACCTTCACCTCCCGGGTTCAAGTGTTTCTCCTGCCTCAGTCACCCTAGCAGCTGGGATTACAGATGTGTGCTCCCATGACCCGCTAATTTTGTATTTTTAGTAGAGACAGGGTTTCACCATGCTGGTCAGGCTGGTCTCAAATCTGGAACTCAGGTGATCTGCCCGTCTCAAACTCTCAAAGTGCTGGGATTACAGACGTGAGCCACTGCGCTCTACTGCTACTGGAAGGGTTTGCTCTTCTCTCACCTGAGTACACCTTACTCATTATTCATTCCACCTCCATGTCTTGGCTCATTGCCATTTGCCCTCTGGAATCGTCCCTCCACCGGCTTCTTCACTGCAAACTGAATCTTAACTATCCTTCAAGGATAAGGTCAAAACTCTTCATAAGGTGCCTTCCCCGATAATCCCACCCAAACCCGTTTCTCAGTTCTTTTGCCAATGAAAAAAAAGTGCTTTAGGCAGGGTGCATCGCTCCTTTTCTCCCCCGACTCTTTTAACCAATATTGTACATCACTCAATCAGTGCTTTGGCTTTTAATTAACTTTAATCTATGTCTTGTTTCCAGAAATAGATGAAATACCCCGAGAGGCTTCCATGATAGCTATGATGGCACCACATGCATACATTACACAAATTTAATTGTAATGAGGATGAAAGGGGAGAAAGATTTCAAGCCATGTCAGTTAAAGCAAGGTTACTGGAACTATGGCATGCAAAGGGGATATCATGAATTCTCATGAATCTTTTCTCCAGGCAAGATCCATGCTCTGTACCACTAGTAAAAGGACTATCTTCTCCTTCCTTCCTAAAAATCCCAACACCTCCAACAAAGGTCTACAGTTAGATTTTTAGGGGTTTCCTGGTAGAGCACAAATAATCCCAAGGAAGCTGCAGTAACACCTCCTGGCCACCAGAGGACAGGAAGCAGTGGGAGAGATTTGCTTTCCCTAGCAGAAGTCTTCAGGAGGCCAGAGGCACCGGCTCAGAGTTGCTTCTGCACTGTGGCCTTCGGGCTTTACCTACCGCCAGAGGTGCTGGCAATGCCTCCCATCTTCAAATGGACTTTCCTCCCTCCTATAAAAGCCGGAGCCTTACCCGGCAACACTAACCTTCAATGATTACCAGTCATAAGGAATGCCCTTCAGTTGCAGGATTTAAAGGCAGAAAAGTAGCAAAAGGGGTGTATTATCTTTCTAACCCACCCAAACCCGCTTCTCAGTTCTTTTGCCAATGAAAACAAAGTGCTTTAGGCAGGGTGCATATGGATATCCCACAACAGTGTCTTTAGGGGCCAGTGTCCCAATCAGGCACATCGCAAACGGAGTCTTTTAGGAGTTAGATTATTCCAACACATAAATTCTGGCTCATGGAGCAGTCCACTCGCAGGGTGCTTTTCCGTCATTAATCACATCTTTGTTATGTGATATCCACGTGAGCACTTCTCACTAGAAGCAGCTTCATGCTTAAATGCTCAAAGAACATTGAAATAAAGCTCCCATTGTCCTATTCAGTAATTCCAAGTCCTCGTTTGTCACCACCTCAGGTCTCTCGTTTTCCAAAGTGCATAATGTCATCTAAAAAAAAAAAAAGCAATTTTAATGAATTCAAATAATAAAATGCAAGAGGTATGTGGAGTCAAATCAACAAGGGTTTTGTACCTCTCAAAAGGCAGTGAACCCCTGGTCTGATTTAAAGACGTTTCTGCGCTGCCTCCTGTAGAAAACATTTTCAAAGAGAATCTAGGCTCCTTATCCTCCTCTTTGCAAATACAGGCAAAGTAAAGTAATTTAGGAATATTTACGCGGGGGTTTTCAACCACAAACATAGAGATGGCTGAAAGCCTGTCAACGGCAGTGTGATTTTTCTTGAAATACCTGTAACTTCTCTACTGAGAAACGGCAGAACTTTGTCTTTTGCATTCCTCAGACTTTTAAGAGAGCGACTGAAATTCTCTCAAATCAGTGTTTGCGTTTTTTGACGTTGGTGAGGCAGCTGGAAACAGCTCAAGAAGGAGGGAAAGGGTCTGCGTCTGGGTGCGGGGAAAACCCTCCGATACCTGCTGCAGCGCAGCGCTGGAGGCGGACACCCTGGCCCGGGGGGCGGCGGGGGCGCGGGCCCGGAAGGAGGAGGAGGAGGAGGAGGGAGAGGAGGGGGAAGAGGCCTCGGGGCCGCCTCCTCCGGCAGCTCCGGCTCCTCCCAGCGGCGCCCGCGGAACCTGCCTCAGAGTCGCCGGACACTGGAAGGGAACATGACCTGACCCCTCCCCAAGCGGCCGGAACGAGGCGCGGAGTCGCGCTCGGGGCTCCGGCGTCCGCGGGATGGGCGGGCAGGCGGGCGCGCGGCCCCGCCCGGCGCCCACCGCCCTGCCCTCGCCTGTCTCCTCCTTTCCCCGGGGCTCCGCTGAGTTCATTCACTGGGATTGGTTTCAAGTGACGCCATCTCTTTATTTTTAAACCAATGACCTCATCCGCGCTTGAAGTTTCCTGACCAGCGGCTCTTTCTCTTTCCCCCAACCCCCCACCCCCCCCAGCCTTTCCCCCTCTTTCTATGTATCACTGTTTGGGGGACTTTAATCAGTTTTTTAAACGATTATTGCCACCCCTCACTCCCCCCAACCCCCGCTTTCACCACGCGGCCCCCCACCTTTACCTCCCTAAGTTCTTCATCCCTTTCGACATTTTTTTTGAAGGCTGGCTGGGGGGACTGTGGAAGAGAAAGAGTGAAGAAAAGTTGCGAGCGTCTCCTCTCTTCCTGAGCCTCCCGCCCCCACCCGCCCCTCAGAGAAGGAGAAGATAATATAGTGAAAAGAGGACGAGGAGGAGAGCGACGGGACGGGACGCGAGCTGGAGCGCAGCCGCCCTCTCGGCTCCGCGGCGGCGCCTCTCAAGCCCGGGAGGCGAGAGGGGCCCGAGGGGAGACGCCGTGACAACTTTCGTTTCCCTCTGAGGGAACTGGGAGGTCGGCGGCCCCAAAAGTAAGTGGCCTCGGCGGGCCGCGCGGGGTGTGCAGGCGGGAGGGTGCGGGGCCCGGGGCGCCCTCCCGCCCGGCCGCATGGACGCTCCGCGGCGCGTCCCGATTCCCGGCCCCGGGCGCCGTGCTCTTGCCCCGCCGGCTCTGCCTTCCCCGGCGTACCGACCACCCTTTCGGGAGCGGCGAGGGGGCGACCACGGCCGGGGGCCGCAGGAGCGTTTGAAGCTGGGGTGTAGGCCTGGCCCGCGGCGGGCCCGAGCGGGAAGGGGGCGTGCGGCCGGCGCGGGGTCGCAGTGGGTGCGCCCCCGGCTGTTGCGCGGCGAGCGGGCTCGGACCGGGCCCCTCCGAGAGGCGCGGCCGCCGCGGGACGCGGCACCTTCGCGGGCGAAGCTGTTCACTTCCAGGCGCGACTGTTACACAACACGCCTGCCAAGTGGGGCCCCGGCCTGACTGTTCCCATTATCCCCAGTTCGCCTTTGGTGTAAGCAGCGAGGCCACCTGGGTGGTGACGGTGCTGCTTTCTGTAATCAACCAACCAAAAAAGCCCTTAATTTTCCGACAGGGGATGAGTCTTGGCGTTGGGGGGCCCGACGCCTAGTGACTTCTTTATTTACACTAGCTGCAAAACGTGAGAAATAAAAAAGCCCAGGGTCTGTGTATCACGTGTACTTTCGCGTAATGAAACACCACAGAGGGAAATATTTTCAGATGCTGGGTCTGTTTCCTAAAGAATACCGGTAGTGAACCAGAGGAAATACAGTGGATCTGAAAATGAATGGACACCGCAACATCCTAAAGAAGTTCAGGGAACATCAACTGCAAGGATTCTTGGCGTTTTGAAGTCGTGTGTCTCAGGTTGGAGAAAGCACACCTCTAACCAGCCTGTGATGAGGAAGGTGTGGAGGAAAAAAACCTGTTGCATAATCTCATTTGCCGTGGGGTTTGCTGTGCCGTCCCCTTGAACCAAAGGGAAGTGAGTTAAGATGCAGGGTTTTAAAACTCGGTGAAGTTTTTATTTACCCAGTGCCCTGGCTGCCACTTCTGTTTTAAAAGATTATAAGTAAACACTCTGCTCTTACAAGTGAACCAGACCTATCAAACCTGTTTAGAAAATAACCAGGTATGTTTCTCTCTTCCTTCTTTTCCGCGTGTGTGTGTGTGTGTGTGTGTGTGTCTGAGAGAGAGAGAGAGAAAGAAATTTACCATCCGAGCAAAAGCTTATGACTAGGGTTTGGGGAACTGAGACTATCAGAAAAATGCCTCTCTATGCCACTCACCTGATGGGGCTGATGGAGAGTCCACGTAAAGGACAACCGTTTCATTAGGATTTATGCTGTTAAATCTCCATCAAGAAAAGGGCTTGTTAAAGTTAAGGTAAATTTTTAAAAGATTTCGTACCAATTGGACTAATTACTCTTTAATTACTTCTCCTTGAGAAACGCATGTATTGGTGGATACCACTTGGGAGGCTCGTGGAGTCTATTTGGTGAAGGGCAGCAGCTTGGAGAAGTAAAATGAAAAACAGAATGTATGGCTTTGTGTAGAGATTTTAGTAAAAATGTGAGTAGGCACCGCGAAAGGTTGTTTTTTAAAATTGTGGAATTTACTGAGTTTGAAGACAAGGTGGAAAGTTGCATTAAATTGTTTTTTAAATTTTCCTAACATTTACCATCTTATGTAAAAATATGGGCTAAATAACATCAGCCCAAGAGGTGGATTTTAGGTAAAATAATTTTTGCACTTAGCAAAAGTCTACATGGAGGAAAATTAGAAAGGAGCTTATTTTGAATTCTGTTAATACGGTGAATATTGTATTGAAAATAACTTGGTTCAGGTACTATAAATGTACATTCAGATATAAAAAGTGTAAACTGTGGTAATTAATTTTTCTTAGTATTAACCTCCGCTGTATCAGCAACTCAAAGTAAAATATCTCATTTGTCTGAAAATTATACTTATTTTACTTAGGTGTTTCACATAGTGCCTGATTATGGAGGGGGCTAGGGACAGAACTGCAGAATTATCCAGTTTTGTTCCTTTTTCATTTAGAATGTTCTTGTTCTTTGGTTCAGTTTGGTGAATGTGAGTACCTATGAAATAAAAATAGTCATGTAAAATTGGGGGTTAGAGTCTCTTGGACCAAAAGCTTAATGGCAGTAACTGAGGAGGCAGCAAAAGAGGAGATCCTGTTACTCCAGTTCTTTTACGTTTTCCTATACATTTAAAAAGTATTTGTGGGATAGTTGAGAGTGGAAGTGAGGCTGAGATGGGGGGGAGGAGAGTAGGTATGTGTGAAGGTTGCAAAGTTTAGGTTGGGGTCAGGAGAAGAGGCAGGATTTATGTGTGAGTTTGTTTTGATGCTGTTTTCTGTAAATACCTGTATTGGGAATTTAATTTCATACAGTTTTTAGCATGTGGGATTAATATAGTCATGAAGCAGACTTATATAGCTCTCCAGTATTAAATTTTTTTTTCAATTTTCAGCTAATCCTAAAATTCTACTAAATACAATTTGCTAATAATTTATCCTAGAACTCCCAAGTTTTCCTAGACAGAAATAGTTTTCTACCTTGTGTTACCTGAACTAAAAATTTCACTGAACATTCGGTGTTTTTTAAAATGCGTTGAGTTCTCAAGCAAATGGTACTTTAGTTTGAAGAAGTAAATTAATACAGGTGAACTGATTTGGATCAGAATCCCAAGAAAACAAGCAGATAACTTAGAGGACACAAAACAGATTTTATGACAGATTTCAACAGAGGAAAGGAACTAGTTAAAAAGATTTCGCAGGAAAAACCATTGTTGATGCTTGATTGGCTTCAAAAGAAATTTACTGATCAAATTTTAGAACAGATAACTCACCATCATAAAAGAAAATCTGAATGTTGGCTTAAACAAAAACATAATTAGGAAAATAAGTCTTGCCCAAAGCTACATATGATAAATTCCAAAGCCAGATGTCAATTTTTTCCTGATTGTCTTGTGTTGTAGACAATCTGTTATTTGTATGCATTTCATTATCCTTGATGATTAAGGGTTGGCTATGTGAAAGAGGTTTATAAAGGTTGGCTGAATTTAAAGAAGCAGGCTCAGATTTTAAGAAGAGGCACTTCTCATATCCAGATGGATTGAGATGGGGAGTTAGAATTTTAACTCAAATAAATAACTGTAGGAAACAGTGGCTCAAAAGAAGGATGTAAGATTACGTTGGACAGGTACAAAGAAATAATAAAAGCTTGCTAGGGGTGTGATCAGTAAGGAAGGGAATGGAATAATCTTGGCATTAAAAGAAAGAGGAATAAATGGGAAAATGCCCTCAACCTCAGCAACAAGAGAGAGTAATGAAACTTCACGCCCTTCTTGATTTGGGTTAGAAACATCATTATAGTTATTGCCAAAAAGTCACAAGATTTTTTATTACATTAAAAAATGTAGTCCAGGCATGGTGGCTTACTCCTATAATCCCAGCACTTTGAGAGACTGAGGCAGGAGGATCACTTGAGCCTGGGTGTTGAGACCAGCCTGGGCAACATAGACCTTGTCTCCATAGAAAATCAAAAAATTAACCAGGTATGGTGGTACACAGCTGTGGTCTCAGCTACTCGGGAGGCTGAAGTGGGAGGATCTCCTGAGCCCAGGAGGTCAAGGCTGCAGTGAAGTATGATTTCACCACTGCACTCCAGCCTGGGCAACAGAGCAGCAAGACCCTATCTCCAAAAAAAAAAAAAAAAAAAAAGAAAAATTTAATCTTGAGGGAGAGTGATGGATACATTATGTGCATTAATTATATGAGAATGTCAAATTTAAAATTCTCAGAAATAAAAAAGATTCACTGTAATCTCATGGCCTATTTTGAGTTATTTGGAAGGGAGGGATACATTATAAAAAATTGAAATTATTATTATCATTTTTTGAGATGAGTTTCACTCTTGTTGCCCAGGCTGCAGTGCAGTGGCGTGATCTCAGTTCACTGCAACCTGTCTGCCTCCCAGATTCAAGTGATTCTCCTACCTTGGCCTCCTGAGTAGCTGGTATTACAGGTATGTGCCACCACGCCTGGCTAATTTTGTATTTTTTGTAGAGATGGGGTTTCTCCATGTTGGTCAGGCTGGTCTCCAACTCCTGACCTCAGGTGATCCATTCACCTCAGCCTCCCAAAGTGCTGGGATTACAGGCCTGAGCCACCATGTCCCGCTAAAAAGCTGAAATTATTAACTGAATTTCTGGATTAACTACCAGTATAAATCAAGCAAAACATTTGTTAATAGTATAGTATTTACATGTGCTGAGATGGATGCCAAAAGTTGGGGACATTGGTCCATGTTCTTAGGGAGAACAGGATTTTAAGAATTTTAGGGGAGATGCATATGCAAATGAAAGGAACTAGTTAATAAGATTTCACAGGAAAAACTAGTTCATGCTTGATTGGCTTTAAAATAAATTTTAAATAAAATTTAAAAGAAATTTTAAAGAATTTGGCACTTGCCAAATTCAAGTACAAAAGAGAAAGAGGGCTCGAGGAGGTAATCTTCATAGAGATAATAGAGTTTGACCCTGGCCTTAAAGATTGGTTAACATGTGTATGGAGAGAAGGAAGTGGGGGAGGTCAAAGGCGGAAGCTATTCATCATCTCATTCAGCAAATTACCAAGTGGTAGACCCTGGCTATACAGTGGAAAATAAGAGAACGTTTTTGCCTGTATGTAACTTACATTCTAGTGGGAGAAGACAGGGCAGTAAACCAGAAAAGACAATCGCAAGTTAACAGTACATTAAAAAAGTGACGTCAAATAGTGGTCAGTAGTGAAGATAATGATCAGGGTCAATACATGACATTTATTCTGTGAATCACCTGCTTTGCCTTTGATAGCCTAATGAATAGTGTTCATGTTGTAACTTTTTAATATTCATGTGCAGTCCAAACGAATCTGAATAGAAATCACATTAACTTTAGCTTTTTAAAAAAGAAATGTGAATTAAAGAAAAAGAAACCTATGTGACTTTTTTTTAGGTCAGGCATGGAAATTTAGATTTTTTTTTTAATGCCTCATTAAGTTATCCACAATTCTTTTGCTGCCGTTTGCTAAGAATCTCATGTTTTTTACAATAGGATTAATATGATTGTTTACTGTTCAGTTAGCGTTTTCATGTATTGGGATATATTCTTAGGTTAGACTCTCTGTTAGGAAAAATAGTCACAATAGTTTCATAAAGTGAAGCTAAATTTCAAAGATAGTTTGTTTTGTATGAAAACATTCAATATTTCAGACAATATATACAGACAATAAACTTGGGCTTAATTACAAATAGACAAAATAGGGTAAGGGATGACACCTGTTTAGCTCTTGTCCCTGTGGCATATTTTTTCCTGTATTTCTATAAATAGTAAAAACCTGAAGCAAAAATGTTCCAAAGTGGGGAAGTCTTGATTTTCCTGTAGTTATTTGACTGCCAGATTTGTTTTGTTATTGTTTAGAAGATGGCCTTCATAGTGGTCAACTAAAAACTGATATTATCAGGAGCTATTTCATGCGTTAGGGCACATTTTGTTCTTCTCAAGCATTCTTTAAGAAATACGTGCCCTTCTTCACTCTTTCTGTAGTTTTAAACTTAATTGGTTTAAGAGATGAGGTCTCTCTCTGTCACCAGGCTGAAGGGCAGTAGAGCGATCATAGCTCAGTGTAGTCTGAAACTCCTGGCTTCAAGCAGTCCTCCTGCCTTAGTCTCCCAAAGTGCACGGATTACAGGCATGAGCCACTGTGACGAGCAAAACTTTTTTATAGGTGAAATTAAGGTAAAGGATTTTAAAAAGGGTTGATATTAAATGTATCTATAGAACCAAATCCCTCAAGAATTATTCTGTATGCACCTAACCAATTTTCATCTGCAATATACTTGAGATAAACCTATGGGAAACAATTTTAAGACAAGCTAGGAAATTCTTTTTTTATTTTTTTGAGACAGAGTTTTTGCTTGTTACCCAGGCTGGAGTGCAATGGCGCGATCTTGGCTCACCGCAACCTCTGCCTCCTGGGTTCAGGCAATTCTCCTGCGTCAGCCTCCCGAGTAGCTGGGATTTCAGGCACGCGCCACCATGCCCAGCTAATTTTTTTTTTTTTGTATTTTTAGTAGAGACGGGGTTTCACCATATTGACCAGGATGGTCTCGATCTCTTGACCTCGTGATCCACCTGCCTCGGCCTCCCAAAGTGCTGGGATTACAGGCTTGAGCCACCGCGCCCGGACAGGAAATTCTTTAGTGCTCTCTTGCTTTCCTCCTACACTAAATGCTTATTTTATTTTATTTTGTTTTGTTTTGAGACAGGATCTTGCTCTGTTGCCCAAGCTGGAGTGCAGCGATGTAATCATAGCTCACTACAGCCTGGACCTCCTTGGTTCAGGGGATTCTCCCACCTTAGCCTCCCAAACAGCTGGGATTATAAGCATGAGCAACCACACCAAGCTATTTTTTATTTTTTGTGGAGACAGGGTCTTGCTGTGTTGCCCAGCCTGTCTTGAACTGCTCAAGTAATCCTCCCACCTCGGCCTCCCAAAGCATTGGGATTGCAGGTGTGAGCCACCATGCTTGGCCTTAATTTAGAAAAGAATTATAGCTGTAAGTGCTGTGGGTTTGTGGTAGGTGTGATAAAAGTTAACATGACTTGCACTCCTCAAAAATATTTGGGAAAGACAAAAATTCAGTTTGTTTTAATGTCTGTGTAATGTTGTGATTGGGCAAATTGTATTTATAGAAAAAATAAATTATAATGGTATGGCAAGACAATAATATAGCCATTATTTTACTTAAATGGGGAAAGATGTGGAGAGAAGTATATGCTACTTATGGTGTACGTTGTATACTAATTTTTAAAATATACACTTTATATCCTAGGATAGTGCCCAGTAGAGTAGGCTTTTGAAAATGTTTGCCTAATAATTTTAATCAGTTCTTAACAACTGTTGCTTTTATAGCAGTTCCATTATATCTCTAGCTTAGAGCACTGTTTTTTGAGCTTTCAGTTGCAACTTGCAAGGTGTTGACTTGCAGTCTTGGGCAGGGTCTCTCGTTTGAGCCATATGCTCACTCTAGAACTCGTGACCTCACCTCCAGCTTTGACCCTGCCGCTGACCTGACTTTCCTCCTTTCCAAAACCTTTTTCTGCTCATAGTGTTTCCAGTTACCTTTTTTTGCTCATAGTGTAGCAGCTCCTTCCCTCTCCGAGCATCTGAGCTGTGTCCTCTTCGCATCACTTCTCAGAATACTAAGGTATACGTATTGCCATGCTGGCTTATTTTGTAGTGGGTTTATTTTTTGTTGTTGCTTGTTTTATTTTGTGTTGTTGTTTGAGTGGTAGAGAAGCAAATTCCTGGGGAAGATAGTTCTTGACTGGTTTTGTAAACTGTACATAGTATATGAAACATGATATTATTTCCTCTTCCTTCCTAGCTTTACTTAAATATCTTGGATTCACTTGAAAAAGAATTGGTAAGAATGATAATTTGATAATACAACCAACCAAAAACTAACAGACTTTTTTTTGAGAAAATTGGAAAACTTGAAAATGGAATATATATTAGGTGATATTTAATAGTTATAACCATAATGTTTTCAGCTATAATAGTGGTATTGTGGTTGTGTTAAAATATTCTCATGTGTTAAAAATACATATGGATGTACTTACAGACAAAATAAAGTGATGCCTAATATTTGTTTTAAAAAACTTCAGGTTAGGCACAAACAGAAGTGGGAAATGAATAAAAGAGTATTGGTAAATTTTTGAAAATTGTTGAAGCTGGGTAATGGGTATGTTGGGGTTTTTTATTTTCTGTACATTTGTGTATATTTGGAAATGTCCCTTATAATGAGTTAAAATATATAACCAATTATAACTGTAGGGTGGAAGAAATTTAATGCAATAAAATTATGTTGTTGGGCTGGGTGTGATGGTTCATTCTTGTGATCCCAGCACTTTGGGAGGCTGCGGTGGGAGGATCGCTTGAGGCCAGGAGTTTGAGACCGGCCTGGGTAGCATGGTGAGACTCCATCTCTGCAAAAATAAAATAAAATAAAATGATATGCATGGACATTTGAGCTAATTGGCTAATTGAAAGTCTGCACTCGGCTTTTTTTTTCTTTTTTGAGACCAAGCCTTATTCTGTTACCCAGACCTGGAGTACAGTGGCACAATCTTGGCTCACTGCAACCTCCGCCTCCAGGGTTCAGACTATTCTTCTGCCTCAGCCTCCCAAGTAGCTGGGATTACAGGCATGCGCCACCACACCCAGCTAAGTTTTGTATTTTTAGTAGAGATGCGGTTTCACCATGGTGGCCAGGCTGGTCTTGAACTCCTGATCTCAAGTAATCCGTTTGCTTTGGCCTCTCAAAGTGTTAGGATTACAGGCGTGATCCTCTGCTCCCAGGCTGCACTTGGCATTTTCTGTAAGTTCTGTTTTTGGTAATAAAATTTTAGGAATAAGGAACATTTCATAGACACATCATAAGAGGCCAGGCACAGTGGCTCATGCCTGTAATCCTAGCACATCGGGAGGCTGAGGTGGGCGAATCACTTGAGGCCAGGAGTTCAAGACCAGCCTGGGCAACATTGTGAATCCCTGTCTTCACAAAAAATTAGCTGGGTGTGGTGGTGTGCACCTGTAGTCCTAGCCACTCAAGGGGCTGATGTGGGAGGATCACCTGAGCCCAGCAGGTCAAGGCTGCAGTGAGCCATGTTAACTCCAGTGCGCTCCAGCCTGGGCAACAGTGTGAGAACTTGTTTCAAAAACAAAAGAACAAAACATCATAAGAAGTGTTTAAAATGTTTAACTTTGAGATCTTGTAATAATAATGTACCTTGTAGTTTATAAATTGCTTTTACATATTTTGTCTCTGTTTTCCTTAGAAGACTTGAGTTATTCATTTTACAGGTGAGGAAACTAAGGCCTAGAGCAAGTAAGAAGTAGTGCTAGAATTGGAACCAAGATCTTCTGATTCATATTCAGGTGCCCATTCTCTTACATACATATACTTAAAAGTGTTCTTTTTTTGTGGTAGTATAAACAAATGGTTTTGAAACATTTTGATCTCAGGGCACATTTATACTCTTAAAAATTATTGAGGACCCCCAAAATCTGTTTATATTGACTATATCAGTACTTAACATTAGAAATTAAAACTGAGAAGCCTGTAATCCCAGCACTTTGGGAAGCCCAGGTGGGTGGATCACGAGGTCAAGAGATCAAGACCATCCTGGTCAACATGGTGAAACCCCGTCTCTACTAAAAATACAAAAAATTAGCTGGGCATGGTGGCGTGTGCCTGTAATCCCAGCTACTCAGGAGGCTGAGGCAGGAGAATTGCCTGAACCCAGGAGGCGGAGGTTGCGGTGAGCCAAGATCACGCCATTGCACTCCAGCCTGGGTAACAAGAGCGAAACTCTGTCTCAAAAAAAAAAAAAAAAGAAAAAAACTGAGAAATGTTTAAAATATTTATTTTTTTGAGACAGAGTCTCTCTCATTGCACCCGGGCTGGAGTGCAATGGTGCGATCTCAGCCTACTGCAACCTCTGCCTCCCAGCTTCAAGCAATTCCCCTGCCTCAGCCTCCTGAGTAGCTGGGACTACAGGCGCATGCCACCACACCCGGCTAATTTTTGTTTGTTTTTTGTATTTTTAGTAGAGATGGGGTTTCACCATTTTGGTCAGGCTGGTCTTGAACTCCTGACCTTGTGATCCACCTGCCTTGGCCTCCCAAAGTGCTGGGTTTACAGTTGTGAGCCACTGCGCCTGGCCCTGAAATATTTACTTATTTAGAAAATAGCAAGTATTAGTCCAGGAGCTGTGGCTTACGCCTGTAATCCCAGAATTTTGGGAGGCTAAGGTGGGTGGATCACATGAAGTCAGGAGTTCGAGACCAGCTTGACCAACATGGTGAAACCCTGTCTCGAGTAAAAATACAAAAATTAGCCAGGTGTGGTGGCAGGTGCCTATAATCCCAGCTATTCGGGAGGCTGAGGCATGAGAATTGCTTGAACCCAGTAGGTGGAGGTTGCAGTGAGCTGAGATTCTGCCATTGCACTCCAGCCTGGGTCACAGAGCGAGACTCTGTCTTTAAAAAAAAAAAAAAAAAATTAAAGGGTTGACATAAATAATATACTTTTATGAAAAAGGTATTCCAACACACACAAATCTGGGGAGAAACATGGCATTGTCTTACATTTTGCCATTCTCTTTAGTATGTTTCTTTATAGAAGATAGCTGGGTTTGCATAACTGCTCCTGTATTCAGTCTGTTGGGATAGGTTGTTTTGAAGCATACCTGGCTGCACACAGATACATAGTTGAAGAAGGGTGAGGTATTTTCATAGTCTTTTCATATAATTGTGAATATTTTTGTACACCAAAATTCAACAATTGGTAGATTCTTTTTTTGGAGGGGTTGGGGACGGAGGCTAACTCTGTCGCCCTGAAGTGGTGCCATCTCAGCTTACTGCAACCTCTGCCTCCTGGGTTCAAGTGATTCTTCTGCCTCAGCCTTCCAAGTAGCTGGGATTACAGGAGCGCACCACCATGCCCAGCTAATTTTTTTTTTTTTTGTAGAGATGGGATTTCACCATGTTGGCCAGGCTGATCTCAAACTCCTGACCTCAAATGATCCACCTGCCTCAGCCTCCCAAAGTTCTGGGATTACAGGCACGAGCTACCGCTCCAGGCCACATTCTTAATTGTTAGTTGCACTGTTGAGTCTGAAACCATGTCAGTGAATTTTGTGTACTCTGTGACATTAAAATTGACTGGTCTAACTTGCACTGGACCTTTGACCTGTGTGTGGTTTTGTAACTGCATACACTGGTCATTCAAGAAATAATGGTTTACTAAGTTATGCGCATCTTTATTTTATTTATCTATCTATCTATTTATTTATTTTTTGAGGCGGAGTTTCACTCTTGTTACCCAGGCTGGAGTGCAATGGCGCGATCTCGGCTCACCGCAACCTCCGCCTCCTGGGTTCGGGCAATTCTCCTGCCTCAGCCTCCTGAGTAGCCGGGATTACAGGCATGCGCCACCATGCCCAGCTAATTTTTTGTATTTTTAGTAGAGACGGGGTGTCACCGTGTTGACCAGGATGGTCTTGATCTCTTGACCTCGTGATCCACCCGCCTCGGCACATCTTTAAAATGTTGGCACATTTGGTTACACAATATTAAGCAAACACATTCATTAATTATGACCATCAGTGTCATCCAAAAAATCTTTAGGAATTGGGAAGTGGTTAAGATCTTGGTGGCAAATTCAGGTTTTCCAAAATTTCGGTTTTCTCCTGAAAGCTCAGATTATATCATTGGCAGCAGATATTGTCCGTTTTATTTTGTTTGTTTTTGAGACCGTCTCGCTCTGTCGCCCAGGCTGGACTACAGTGGGGTGATCTTGGCTCACTGCAACCTCCACCTAGCTTGGATTACAGGCATGCACCACCACGCCTGGCTACTTTTTGTATTTTTAGTAGAGTTGGTGTTTTGCCGTGTTGGCCAGGTTGGTCTTGAACTCCTGGCCTCAGGTGATCTGCCTGCCTAGGCTTCCCAAAGTGCTGGGATTACCAGTGTGTGCCACAGCAACCAGCCCAATATTGTTACTTTTTCTTAGTGACGGGTTCATTTTATTCATTTTAGAGAAAATGTCTGCCAGATATCATCAAAGTCTGAATACATATAAGTTGTCTGCTAGTCAAAAAAGCAAAAATGGTGCCCTATGGGAAAAAATCTCATAACTCAAACGATTGCATAAATGCTTTTCCCCAAGATAGTCATTGTACTTAGGTATGCAGCAGAAGTGCTTTATGTGTGCTTCCTATTTCATCATAGAGAGCACTAAAAAGGCCAAGTTCTCAAGAGTTGATGTTTTAAAAAATTAATGCCTTTTATAATTTTATCAAGGATGTTGTTAAGTGAAACTGGCCTTTTAAAAATTATTATATTTTAAGTTCTGCACATATGCAGAACGTGCAGGTTTGTTACATAAGTATACACATGCCATAGTGATTAGCTGCATCCATCACCCCATCGTCTGTATTAGGTATTTCTCCTAATGCTATCCCTCCCTCGCCCCCCATCCCACAACAGGCCCTGGTGTGTGATGTTCCCCTCCCTGTGTCCATCATGTGTTTTTATTGTTCAACTCCCACTTATGAGTGAGAACATTTAGTTTTTGGTTTTCTGTTCCTGTGTGTTACTTTGCTGAGAACGGTAGGTGAAACTGACTTTTTAAAAAGTGATAGGCAATGAAGAATATACAAGTACATATTTTATTAGCTGTCAGAGTGATAGAAACATCACCACATACCATGTCTCTTCGACTCACTGTTGTACACTCATCAGAGAATGAAAGTGAAAAAGACTTCATTTTCATTAACATCTTCATGTTATCAAAAATAATTTTATAGATCCCTTGAAAGATTCCCTCTTGATCTCTGGATCACACTTCGAAAACTGCTGGTGAAAACTAGTACCATGTGCTGACATCTTTTCTGAGCAGTCTGATACACACATTTTTTTTTTTTTTTTGAGATGGTGCCTTGCTCTGTCACCCAGGCTGGAGTGAAATGGCATGATCTTGGCTCACTGTAACCTCCGCCTCCTGGGTTCAATCGATTCTCCCAAGTAGCTGGGATTACAGGCACCCTCCATCATGCCCAGCTAATTTTTATATTTTTGTAGAGACAGGGTGTCACCATGTTGGCCAGGCTGGTCTTGAACTCCTGACCTCAGGGGATCCACCCACTTACAGCCTCCCAAAGTGCTGGGATTACAGGCGCGAACTACCGAGTCCCGCCTGATACACGCATCTAAATCAGTAAAGTAACATTTCCATCTTAGATGATGAATTTGTCAGGGAGAAGAGACTATAGTAGTGTGTAGGATGAGCCATGTGGCCCAGAGCCCATTATGGGTAGAAGGTCATATAACATCAGAGAGAGTGGTGGATAAAGGCTAGACAGAAGGGAAGGGTCAGTGAGAGCACTTTGTAATATAAAAAAGTGAAAATTTTCTTTTCCATTTTTTTTGGAATAAAAAAGCACTGTGCCCACATATATACACACATATCTGTTCATACTTACTTATATTTGTATTCAAAATCTGGGGTACCGCTTCATTTTTTTTTTTTCTTGAATGACAGAACGGGAGAGATGGTAACATACTTGAGAGGAGAATGGACCGCTCGTGGCAGTCATTTGTTTCATCCAACTGGGGAGACTGTTGGCCCTTTTTCTTTTCTTTTGGGAAAGCTAAGGTATGGCAGAAGATAAATGAAAGAAGAAATGGTAAGAGAAGAGTGAACAGAGTAGGCATTAGTTGATCCTGGGAATAGCTACAGGCAAACGAGGCTGTGGACAGGCAGTGGAGCTAAGCATTGGAGGGCACGGAGGAAGACTGCAGGATCAACTGGGCTTCCCAGTGTGCTGACCTGGGGAAGTGCAGAGGTGGGCGCAACAGGAGTCATGGAGATGCACATAGATTTGAAAGATTTCCTTCAAAGCGCAGTTAAAATAACTGTACTAGATAGTCTACCTTTTAGTGACTTATCAGTATTCCATTTCTGTTGGTATAAATTGCATATTGAGTTATACAGGGAAAAGCAGCAGTGCCACTTTTTCAGTCATCTTGATGACTGGGTTGTATCTCTAATATAGTGTTGACGGCGAAGAAGGCAAAAGCTAAAATTAGGTTTTAACTTTTGGGCAGTTATATTTCATTAAAAATGAAAGACTAATTGTATTTTTGTTTTAATAGAGAAAGATATACATATGTGTGTATTGTCTGTCATCAAAATACCCTCAGTGCAATGTTCTGAGGAAATGCCCAGGTATTTCATTAAAATACCTCTAGCAATCCCAACTGAAAAACAAACTCAAGTGAATTTTGTGGTAAATGAATGGTTTGTGTGATTTCAGATGCTGCCAGTGACTGTCTCATTATATAATGTAGTTAATGTGTTAGTTCAAAGAGAT